ACAGCACTATAATGACCAGACCTAATTCTTTTGAAAACCATACATCTTTCCACAGGTCTCAACTTCATCAGACATCACCTAGACTCCGAGCTGAATGAGACCAGCACAAACAGCAGCCTAACCGACTAAAATGATGGATCCATGGGGTCAGGAAAGCCAGAAGCAGGGGAACTGGAGAGGTACCTTTCATGTGCTGTATATATATATATATATATATATATATACAGCACATATATATATGTTTCAGGGTGGCTGTAGCTCAGGAGGTAAAGCAGGTCACCTACTGATCGGAAGGTTAGTGGTTTGATCCTTGGCTCCTCCAGTCTGCATGCCAGGTATCCTTGGGCAAGATACTAACCCCAAGTTGCTCTCCGATGCATCCATCGGAGTATGAATGTGTGTGAATGTAGTTAGATAGCACTAAGTATAGATAAAGTGCTTGTAAGAATGGGTGTGATTGGGTGAATGTGGCATGTTGTATACAGCGCTTTGAGTACTCCGAGAGAGTAGAGAAGCGCTATATAAGAATCAGTCCATTTACCATGTATACACTGCCAAACTGCAGATGTTTGGCAAGAAGATTTGATCACACTGGTGATGTTTTTTACTAACTCTTGTAGAAAACTAAATCATGTCATTCATATCCCGCACAAACAGTTTGCAATGAATTCCAGATTAAGATTAAAATAAGAATGCGTGAAGGCTAAGCAGTGCTAGACAATGGATCCTCCTGTTTGGCTGTTATTCTGGGAAAAGACGAGAAAGACAGTGATGGAAGCTGTGACTGGAGCTGTGATGTAGCCTATATAAGAGTTATATTGTACGAACGTGATAATTATGTATATTGTAATAACGTAATATTATATTGTTCAAACGTGAAAGGTATATTGTACTAACATGAAAAGTATATTGTTAGAACAATATACTTCTCTATTTTTCTTTTGCCTGGGTGGCAGCTCTACGCTTCCGTACTACGCTTCCATATAAGAGGCTTTTCAATGTGGCCTCACAAAATTGTGACGACTACAACAACCATAAAAAGAGTTGGATGAACACTGCTGCTCAATTGCAGCTGCCTGGTCAATGTTTTCCATTAGTAATTTAGCAAAGTTGATGGTGGTGGTGTGTGTGTGTCTGTAAGACAGAGAGAGGGAGAGCGAGAGACAGATTTTGTATGATAAGCTTCATGTTATGTTTGAGCACTCAGGTCGCATCAGAGCATCAGGCCGAGACCCTGCATCGTGACCTATGAACTTCTAACCCCTGCGAATTGTACAGTTTGAGCAGGAGCTGAAAACGCAGCTGAAAAAAATCGTAGTGTTTGCCCAGCTTAATGCAGACTGTTTAAATTAAACAAGCTGCTTTTTCACACAATAAATCCTGTCAGCCGCAGCATTGCCTTCTTTTTTAACAGTTAAAGCAGTAGAGACGACCTGTTTGCATGCGCGTTGAACTCTAGCATCATTAACCAGGCTAGCTGTTAGCTTATAGCTCACGCTAGCTAACTAGCGAACAGTTAAAAGGACAGCTGAAGCTGCACAAAACACCCACAAACTTATCTCACTACAATGTAGCGCCGAAAATATGACTCGCAGCTCGAGCTCGACACAGCTGCTGTAACATAAGACTGACATCCAGCTAACCACAGCTAAAAAGATATTTAGAGAAAACTTGCCGTTTCCTCAGGTTACACGAGCCGAGTTGTTTCACGCTGAAAAGTTCCTTTGTTTTGGCTCTCACTGAAGACACCGACACTGAAGACATAGCTGTTCTTTTGTACTGCTTTTATGCGAAACATTCTTTGTATATGAGGCCAAGGGTGTTCATCCTGGCTCTGCCATGTTTTCATGGGTTTCTTCTTTCCGTGTGTCTGCTACTTTTAAACGCTTGGGCCGCTCTGCCCGCCACAGTTTCAAACTGTTTCAAACTAACCAACATTCACACATCGGAGGGCAACTTGGGGTTAGTATCTTGCCCAAGGATATTTGGCATGCAGACTGTGGAAGCCAAGGATCGAACCACCAATCTCCAATCAATAGCTCCTTAACCACAGCCAAAAAGGATATGGCAGTCCATTCTCCCTGAAGCACGGACTACACTGCCCATGAGGCTACATTCTTTAGGGCTATGCCTGTAACACTCTGTCTATTGCCTTCATATTAAATAATTGTTTGAATATTTTTTTAAAATATTTCTTCATATCATTATGCAACTAGGGGTGTTATGGGTATTTTATTTTAAATACGTAACAGCGGTACATGTATTCCTTTACTCCCCAACACTGGGTACCATACCATCTTAACTAACTGGTCTACTGTAATCTTTTTACTAAAACTGCACAGAGTGGTGTCTAGACAGCAGAGCTCCTTAAGCTAATAGCTAATATTACAACAGTGCTCCACTGAGTGCTTTCAGATACTCAGCTTCCGTCTCGTACTTTAATGACTCTTATTAGTGATCCAGTCATGGAACACTGACACTGATGCTGTGCTGGAAATGTGACCAGTGATGTGGGAGTTGGTGTTAATGGTGATTGTTTTTATATTTATATAATCTGATTAATACATAATGATTATGACTCTTTTATTTTCATTCAGCTGTGTGATTTAAACTGACATTCAAATTCTAACACTTGAACTGGAGCCGTGTCTTGTCATTATCTTGCACTTTCAGTATAGTATTGTTTTTTGGCTCTGTAATAATGAAAAAATAACTTACTTTTAATCTCAGTGTATTGTGATGGTGCCAGAGGCTAAATTGTTTCTCAAATGTGTATGAATTATGTGCTGTGGAGACATGTGGCTGCTTACAGTGCTGTAAGAATAAACATGCACATACACACAGAGACACTCATTCAAACACAGTTCTGAAAAGTCTTAAACACGAAATAAGAATCGTTCTATAAAACCTAACACAAAAAAACAAAAACACAACAAAAAAGAAGTAACATGCATCTATGTTTTTTTTATTAGATGCTTTAAGCAAAATTTAGGCTTTTAACAATAATAAAGCACAGTGTGGTGATACTATTTTGCTGATTTGGCCACAAATATTATTTACATTTAGAAATTTGGATACAACTTACCAGACTGATTTAAATTTAACCACTTTAGTATAAACAAAAATGTTGAATCCCCAAAGTAGTTTAGTAACATTTTTAAAAAATATATATATTGTCCACCTTATTATTAACTTAGAATACCACATAGAATACCTAAGCTTTTTCCCGCATAGAGAAATATGTGATGCAAAAGGGGATAAGGACTGGTATTTATGCAGAGCTTTTTTTTAGTCTCCTTGAATTCCCAAAGAACTCTACAGCGCACAAACATTTTATTCTATGCAAACAGTGCTGGAATTTCCTTAGCAAGAATCACAGGAAAATCATCAGGAAAATCATCAATTTTAACCATTTATGTTAATTAGAGTCATATTTCCTTGAATTTATAGTTTGCATGAAAATGGAAAACATAGATTACATAATTAATTACACAAATCAAGAACTGAGTTCACATTTGTAGATACCCACCAATGGGTGGCACTTGTTTTCCATCTTTCCATCATTGAGATCTCAGATAGTTCTAACTAGTAACTCAACAGCATTTTGTCACTAATCTACATAGTTACAGTTGATGAAAATGTTAATTACCTGAGTTCGCAGTTCCCTGGTTTCATGCAAGAAGCTGATTATCCCTAGCCCTCAACCTTTTTACTGAATCCCCTGCCAGCTGCAGCAGTGTCTGCAGCTGAGGATTAAAAAAACATAATGGCATTATGCTAATGTTGTGATATTGCTAGATTGACATTTCTACTGATTGGGATTAGTGCTCCTATCCATTTTCCCACCCACACAGCAGTGGCTTAAAGTCTCTCTCTCTGCCATGAAAACATGCTTTTAACATTGTTGGTGTCAGGGGTAATTTATGGTGTTCCTCAAGTGGGCTTGTTTCAGTGCAATTAGTGTATTTTCTTTGTGTACTGAGTGCATGCCCTGAGCTGTCTGCCATCTGGAGATGTTTGAGAGAAAAAGAGGGCTTTCCTGTTTCTGGGTTCTTTTTTCTTTAATTAAGTTTTTTAACAAGGATAATCACAAGTTTGTTCAATCTGTTAAGTTGCAGCAGACCATTTGAAAATTTACCATTATCCTATAATATCTTTTCAAAACATGATGCAAACATTAGTTTCTGCAACTGGATTACCATATTACTATGTCATATTTGCATTATTAAGTGATTATCTGAGCTGGTAATCTTGGCTGTGTTGCATTGGGTCAGTCATCTTGTTTACATATTTAGAGAAAAACATATACATATACAAAAACATATACATACCTATAACCTCGAGCGTGGCTCAAGAGTTGGGAGTTCGCCTTGTAATCGGAAGGTTGCCGGTTCGAGCCCCGGCTTGGACAGTCTTGGTCGTTGTGTCCTTGGGCAAGATACTTCACCCGTTGCCTACTGGTGGTGGTCAGAGGGTCGACTTGCCCTCGGCTGCTGCCTACCAAAGCTGTTTAACTTTTTTGGTCAGGTCCACAGCGGCAGACTGGTTTTTTTCTTCTGAAATGAGTACAGGATCATATGTCATAGAGCTAATCGAATTGAATTGAAACATTAACTCATGCACTGTTTTTTTTCTTTTGCTTTGTTTCTTTCTCTACAGGCACCCATAAATTTGTGACAGAGGGGGAGCACCTGATGCTCACAGCCATCACCAAAGAACAGTCGGGATCCTATGAATGCATTGCATCTAATGACATCTCAAGCCCGGATGTCAGGACAGTGCAAGTCACCGTCAACTGTAAGGGCCAGGCTATCACACTCAGGCTATATAGGACATCAAAGGGTGGGAGGGTGCAGAGTTAAATTAACACTGAGTGAGGACAGTTGAGGGCACAATTTCAATTTGAAGAAACAGTCATATGAAAACATATGACTGGTATTTTTTTGTTTTCCAGATCCTCCCTTCATTTCTAAAGCGAGGAGTACAGGCACTTCAGTTGGACAAAAAGGAATTCTGCAATGTGAAGCCTCTGCTGTCCCAAGGGCAGATTTTGAGTGGTACAAAGAAGACCGCAGGCATGTTTCTTCCCTGAGCTCTATGATTTCGACATGCTCTGAATTGTTTGACCTCAGTATTACAGGCTTACAAACACATGTGTTCTGCTGTACGCTGTGGTCTTAATTCATTCGACATGATCTTTGCTGAAAGTAATGATGTTCACTCATATCACTGTTTAAAATCATGTTTTTGAGATAAGATAACTTGTGCCCTGCATTCTTCTATCAGTGGACTACATCAAAATTTAATCACACTATTAGAAAAAAACAGTTAGTTAGATAATTTGCACAAAGTCATGGTTACCAAAGGAAAATTATTTGGGGTGGCTGTAGCTCAGGTGGCGGAGCAAGTCAGGCACTAATCAGAAGTTCAGTGGTTCAATCCCAGGCTGCCTCCTGGCTGCATGCCAAATATCCTTGGGCAAGATACTAAATACTAGTGGTCAAAGGCCCTGGTGGCGCCAGTGTCCGGCAGCCTTGCCTCTGTCAGTGCGCCCCAGGGCAGTTGTGGCTACAATGTAGCTTGTCATCACCAGTGTGTGAATGGGTGGATGACTGAATGTAGCGTAAAGCACTTTGGGGTCCTTAGGGACTAAGTAAAACGCTATACAAATGCAAGCCATTTACCATTTATTTGTTTCTCTATAATTCGTTTATGTCAGTAGGGTGCTGGGCTCAAATGTTTAGATAATAATCTAATATAAAGTAGCTTTTTCCAACTGATGACTTGAAACTGGAAATACATTTATGAGAAGAGTAAATACAAACAATGGCTATGGTGACTGTTAAATGGTCCCTGAAAGTGACAGCAGCATTTCCTGTCCCTATAAGATGAAATAAGTACAGGGAGTGCAGAATTATTATGCAAGTTGTATTTTTGAGGAATAATTTTATTATTGAACAACAACCATGTTCCCAAAAAACTCATTAATATCAAAGCTGAATGTTTTTGGAAGTAGTTTTTGGTTTGTGTTTAGTTTTAGCTATTTTAGGGGGATATCTGTGTGTGCAGGTGACTATTACTGTGCATAATTATTAGGCAACTTAACAAAAAACAAATATATACCCATTTCAATTATTTATTTTTACCAGTGAAACCAATATAACATCTCCACATTCACAAATATACATTTCTGACATTCAAAAACAAATCAGCGACCAATATAGCCACCTTTCTTTGCAAGGACACTCAAAAGCCTGCCATCCATGGATTCTGTCAGTGTTTTGATCTGTTCACCATCAACATTGCGTGCAGCAGCAACCACAGCCTCCCAGACACTGTTCAGAGAGGTGTACTGTTTTCCCTCCTTGTAAATCTCACATTTGATGATGGACCACAGGTTCTCAATGGGGTTCAGATCAGGTGAACAAGGTGGCCATGTCATTAGTTTTTCTTCTTTTATACCCTTTCTTGCCAGCCACGCTGTGGAGTACTTGGACGCGTGTGATGGAGCATTGTCATGCATGAAAATCATGTTTTTCTTGAAGGATGCAGACTTCTTCCTGTACTATTGCTTGAAAAAGGTGTCTTCCAGAAACTGGCAGTAGGACTGGGAGTTGAGCTTGACTCCATCCTCAACCCGAAAAGGCCCCACAAGCTCATCTTTGATGATACCATCCCAAACCAGTACTCCACCTTGCTGGCGTCTGAGTCGGACTGGAGCTCTCTGCCCTTTACCAATCCAGCCACGGGCCCATCCATCTGGCCCATCAAGACTCACTCTCATTTCATCAGTCCATAAAACCTTAGAAAAACCAGTCTTGAGATATTTCTTGGCCCAGTCTTGACGTTTCAGCTTGTGTGTCTTGTTCAGTGGTGGTCGTCTTTCAGCCTTTCTTACCTTGGCCATGTCTCTGAGTATTGCACACCTTGTGCTTTTGGGCACTCCAGTGATGTTGCAGCTCTGAAATATGGCCAAACTTGTGGCAAGTGGCATCTTGGCAGCTGCACGCTTGACTTTTCTCAGTTCATGGGCAGTTATTTTGCGCCTTGGTTATTCCACACGCTTCTTGCGACCCTGTTGACTATTTTGAATGAAGCGCTTGATTGTTCGATGATCACGCTTCAGAAGCTTTGCAATTTTGAGACTGCTGCATCCCTCTGCAAGATATCTCACTATTTTTGACTTTTCTGAGCCTGTCAAGTCCTTCTTTTGACCCATTTTGCCAAAGGAAAGGAAGCTGCCTAATAATTATGCACACCTGATATAGGGTGTTGATGTCATTAGACCACACACCTTCTCATTACAGAGATGCACATCACCTAATATGCTTAATTGGTAGTAGGCTTTCGAGCCTATACAGCTTGGAGTAAGACAACATGCATGAAGAGGGTGATGTGGACAAAATACTCATTTGCCTAATAATTCTGCACTCCCTGTAGTGATAGAGAGGAGTGATAAAATAAATGTAAAAAAACAGCGAAACTGTAGAAAAGAAACAGGAAATGAAATGTGGGAAATGGAAGGCGGGCTTTTAAACAAATACATCCTGTCACGGCTGCAGCGGCAGATGTGTGAAGTTATAAGAGATGGACCCAAGTGCAGGCACTGGCATTACTGTGAGTGAGCTTTATTTTCAAACGGTGATAATACAAACAGAAGCAGACATGGCAAAGAAAGAAAATAAGAAAGACCTAAACCAGGAAAACTAACTAAATAAACCTGAAACCATGAAACGTTGTTAGAACATGGGGGATGACACATAGAATGATACACAGACGGACGACAAAGAGCAAAGGTGAGCACACACTATGGCTGTATCCCAATTCAGGGTCTGCAGCCCTGGAGGACGCAGCCTTCGCTGTCTACTTGGGCTGCGTCCTTGAAGGCCGAGAAGGCCGGAAATATGAGGCTTGTGAAATCGAAAGGTCTATCCTCTGTCATGATACCCGCTGCAAACATTTCATACAGCATTGTTTCACAGAAATGAAGAAAAGAAATAGAGAGTTCATTTGTTTGTTTGTTTTTACATGACGTTTGTTTGATTTGAATATTTGAGGCTGAGACCACGGAACTGTAACAATATGAATGGTTGTGCTTCTTTTCGGTACTGACCAGCAATGTTCCCTCTGAGCTGCGCGCGTGCGCAATTGCGCACTGCTGGCATGGTCTCTGCGCACAGAAAATCTGCGTTGCGCACATAAAAAACCATCAAACCTGAATTGAATTTAAAATGAAAACTTTAACAATTCTGTTTTGCAGTGTTAGTCAGTAAGTGACTGGCTGCTCCCGTATGGGATTAGAACAATGCCACCTTATCCCATAGTCCAGCCAATAATGCGATTCACATTCGTATATACGCAGCTAATCAATGTCAATGACAGGCTATGACAGCATCCGTATGTGCCGACACCGGTGTTTTAGCTAGCAAAGCGGTGTGGCTGATGTGGAGTGAAGCCACATGATATGGCAACATGGCATTTAGTTGTTTAGGAACGGGGGAAGTTTTAGGGGTGACGGCGGTGTTTTGAGATGTGAGAGATTTGAGACGTTTAGTGCAAATCTTGTGTAGTTAGTGTGTAGTGTAGTCAATAGTTTTGTTGTGTGTGTCAGAACAACGAGGCGACTGCTGAATGTTACAGGTGTTACAGGAGAGAGTACATCTCCTGTTGTCAGGCCTGCAGGTATCAGGCTGTTGTTCTCCTTTATCTCATAGTGGACAGAAATTATTTTTTGGAGTGGAACAAACGATTTGTGTGGCATCAGATTTGATGCAGAACACCTGATTGTTCTGTAGTTTGATATGTTTATTTAAAAAAAACGCCTTGGCTGCATTTTTAGGTAAACAGCTGCTGGAGCGGGGGGGATAGGAGGAGGAGTTGGCCGTCCGATTGGGGTCTGGAATGTGGGGCCTCCCTGCTGCTGCCGAGTCGGGGCAGTCAGCTTCTCTCCACCCCAGGGAAAAGGGTAACACTACCTGGGTCTGGGTGCAGTTTCCCCCTCCAGGGTCAAAGATACCTAGACCTGGGGCTTAGAGTACGCTTGGGGAGTGTGATTGCGTGTAAAGTGTCTCTTTATGTCTGTCTCCACGTTGGTTGAGTGTTGAGTAATTGCATATGAGAGCATGAGGGTGGGAATGGATGTTTGTATCTGTGTGTGCCTGTTTGTCTGTGTCTATATGTCAGGTCGGGTATCAGATG